GTGCAATGGGAGATTCACAACCTGGATGTGCAACCAAGCAAACTGTGTGATGCTGTGAAACAATATGGATCAACGTTTGGAGAAAATCCAGCACTTTGTTGAACCCGTGCCACCAAGAATCAAGTTGTGCAAGGAAAAGCAGCTCCAACCTAACACGACGCAGTGTTGTTAGCTTGTGTTGTGTGTCATTTCAGGTTTACACAACAATAAATTATTTACTGCTAGCAGTGATTTAAGAAGCTTTCAAATAGAATGACCATTAGAAGTAGAGAGGTTTGTTGATGTTTCTTCTTTCCCTCCACAGCATGTTATGCCAAGAACTTTGGCCCCAAAGGGTTCGGTTATGGCCAAGGAGCCGGCGCTCTGGTTCACGCTCAGTGATGGCTCGGTGGGACCACAGTCACTCGTCTACATTCCTCTGCCCAACATGAACATATTTCATCCTCGATGCTTTGATGCTGTTGATACAAATAATAAAAACAAACATGAACAAACCAACGGGTCACATTTGACTGTATTTTATTATTAAAGCCATTAAAACTGAACCATGCCCATATGTTTACATCTGAAGCGGAGTAACAGTGATGTCTGGAGGTGGGCAGAGAGGCACTGGATATGATTATGTGCTTTCTTTTTTTCTGCTTTTACTATCCCACATGGTGAAGGTGAGAGAGGCGGGGGAGGGGGGGGAGACAGAAGAGACTTTTTAGGCTGCTGGAAGAACTAGTGAGGACTGAGATGGCTTTGAATTCATGTCCTGTGTGAGCCTGAAGTGGTGAACTGCCCTAAAGAAGAACAAAACTAGCCTGCATATATCTATGTTCACTTAAAAGGCATTATTAGAACACAAGAGGCTAGTTACTGATATGAAATGTACAGCTGGGTCAGGGCCGTCTGACCATTAAAGCACACAAAACAAAGCTGCTGTGTGTCATGTTCTTAGGGCAGCAGTGACATCAGTGGTTAGTAAAGATGTAATGATGTAATGATGACATAACCGTCCCCTTCTGATGATGCAAACACTAGGCTCAAAAGTTTCGGAGGCCTTTTATATAATATAACCTCCCTCTATCCTTAAAACTATTGCATGATCACATTTCAGCTTTTAAAAAACAGAACCAAAATAAAACAAAAATGGCATCTGCCTTAGTTCTCTAGTGTCTTTGCTTTACAATTTGTACATCCAGTGGTAATAACAAACCCAGCGGTATATAAGGTAGAAATAAAACAAACAAAAAAATGGAACATTCAAATATATTACACGCTTGCACAGGGAGGGTCCCACTGGAAAGCTGGCGACCTGAAGGACAACTTTCACTAAATACACTGGATTTGAGAGAAAGAAACCTAAAAAAGGACAAATGAACAAAATGCAGAAAAGTACTTGCAAATACTTAACATTCACTATATACAGATACAGGGCTCGCTTGGCTGTCACCATGAAGACGACGACGACGACAGGGGCGGCGACAGCCCGGCTGTCCCAAGCATCATACATGCAGTGGAGCTTCTTAAGAGTTAAAACGCCTATAGACAGCAGTGACGGACATCACTAAAAGCTACAGTCATACACTTGGAGTATAGTCACTCGAGTTTCTCCTTTCGGCTTGTTTGGAAGAAATCCCCCAAACGCGAGAAAAGAAAAGCAAAAGGTCCGGGAGCACTGTTGGGCTAACACTGATGAAAAGAAAAAGCAGAGGGAGACGATGTTTATGTACAGATGCACATTCTTGACATCTCAGGTCATCCTGCTGCTGTGTGGAGCAGGCTGCGTGTGCGGGGGTCCGAACAGAAAGCGACGCGAGGCGGCCCGTCCTTTTCCTTCTGTGTAAACAATGGAAGCGTCGGCGTGAAGCTCTGCTTCTGTTCAGTAATGGCCAAAATTTAAAAAAAGAAAAATTCAAACTTGAAAAAAAAGATATATCAGTGCAATAATGTAGGCAGACAAATGACACGACAAACAAATAAGACTGTACAGCTTCTGAAGAAAAACACGGAATGAAACCCTCGTAAACTCATCTGTCCTCCCGCTGCCTTCTCTTAGACTCTGCAGCTAATAAATACACTCGCTGTAGCCGCCTACAGGCAAACGTCTCTGCCCTCCATCTTCTACAGCTACACGTGCGCACGCCTCATAAAACCTACTCAGCAAAGTTGATCTGAAATGTAAAGATGATGGTGCTAGAACATAGTTACTTTCTCTATAAATAGCTTGAAAATAAATATACCTCACATAGTATCACATTGTCTGTAGGATCGTTTCTGTCGCGTTTCTTAGAGCGGTCGCCGCTGAAGGAGTCGTTCCCCGTGCGCTCCCAAGCCTGCGTTCTTACTGCACAGCAACTACTCCGGGGTTAAACCCCTCCTGTTTGCACTAAGCCTGTGTCTCAGAGGAAAGCAGCTTTAACTGGAGCAGGTGAGGAGTGGGACTTCTGCAGCGGCTCCCTTTAACCAAACTCTCTCCTATGACAAGTTCAGCACTGGTTGGCAAATGATCAGCTCCGCTGCAAACTCATCACGGTGCAGAATAAAAACAAAAAACAAGACCTTAAAAGACATTCCCTTATTTCTACCATACTTTAAAACGATTTCTTGCTTTTTTTTCATATACACGTATATATTTAAAAAAAAAAACAACTTTCTTTTATCTTTCACCACAGTTAGTCGTGACAGGAACGGCAGAGCGCCCGAACCAATCAGAAACAGACATGTACGGGGCACACGGACAGGGACACCATAAATAAGATATCGAGTGGGGGACGGGGAAAGAACAGCGTCGCCTCTTCGTGGCTCTACTTTTTCTGCAGTGTCGAGTCTCCGGATAGAAGAGCTTTTAAGTTTTGTAATTCCTCTCTCCTCGTCATTTGTGCCTGGCAGCAACGCACCGTCCAAAGAGCTCAGGAGAAGAGAGGAAGAGAGCTGGTCAGCGGCAAAGGTAGAGTAATAGTAGTAGTAATAGTAGTAAAGGTGGTGGTGGTGAAGGCCAGGGGGTGGGTGTGGTGTCGCCCCGTAACAGCATGCTAGTCCTGGCTGATTCTTTTTGTTGTTGTTGTTTGATCGGTGAGGGAGAGATGGTCCAAAAAGCAGGTGCTCACAAGAACGCCATCACTCAGATATGCTCGCCAGAGGAGGGGTGGAGAGGGAGAGTGAGGGTCGTCCATTTATCCATCCACGCTCTGCTCACGCTCCCCTCCCCTCTTCATCCTCGTACTCCTCCTCCTCTACACCAGCTGGTAGCCCGAGCCAGACGTCTGGTCGTATTCTATTGTGTACTGTGTGGTCCAGTCCACCGTGACGGGCCGGATCAGGCCGCAGCAGCGGATTTCAAAGAAATCTATGAGGTTTCTGATGCAGCCGTGACTGCAGAGAGACATGAGAGGGGAATTAATGCTGCAAGCTTAAGCATTTTATACATACACATATAGCAGCCTGTTATCTGCCCTCTATTTATTCATTCATTCATTTATTCAAACGTCTTTGCACTCTGCAACATTGCATGTATAAAAATGCTGTACTGCTGTGTGCAAAAAACAGAGCTGAATTCTTTCTCTGTGTACAAATACAGGCCAATGATACATCTGAGTGAAATTACCTGCACTATCTAGTACTAATATCTAGTGTTCGACTATATGCCAGTACTAATATTAGAGCACTTCGCTCTCGCTCTGCAGGCCTACTTGTTGTTCCTAGAGTATTTAAAAGTAGAATGGGAGGCAGAGCCTTCAGTTTTCAGGCCCCTCTTCTGTGGAACCAGCTTCCAGTTTGGATTCAGGAGACAGACACTATCTCTACTTTTAAGATTAGGCTTAAAACTTTCCTTTTTGCTAAAGCATATAGTTAGGGCTGGACCAGGTGACCCTGAATCCTCCCTTAGTTATGCTGCAATAGACGTAGGCTGCCGGGGGATTCCCATGATGCATTGAGTTTTTCCTTTCCAGTCACCTTTCTCACTCACTATGTATTAACAGACCTCTCTGCATTGAATCATATCTGTTATTAACCTCTGTCTCTCTTCCACAGCATGTCTTTATCCTGTCTTCCTTCTCTCACCCCAACCAATCACAGCAGATGGCCCCGCCCCTCCCTGAGCCTGGTTCTGCCGGAGGTTTCTTCCTGTTAAAAGGGAGTTTTTCCTTCCCACTGTCGCCAAAGTGCTGCTCATAGGGGGTCATATGATTGTTGGGCTTTTCTCTGTATCTATGAAGCGCCTTGAGGCGACTTTTCTTGTGATTTGGCGCTATATAAATAAAATTGAATTGAAATTGAAAATACTGTTTAGAAATGTTTTTCCCCCTAAACTTAATCAGTTCAGTAAAGGTCCTGAATCTATTTTGCCTTATTTCAAATTGATGCATTTTCCTGTTATGGTACCAACTAACAACCAAACATCTTCCACTTTTTTGAGGAAATTCAAAGCCAACAAACTGACCTGAACAGCTGCTCATTGTCCATTTTAGAAAGAAATCACTAAATAGAAAAAACCTGCTTCTGTTTTCTTGTTTCTCACTTTTTGACTTAAAAAAAATTTCTGTTTCTCACCCTCAATAGTTTCTTTGGAAATAATATTTAAAATGATGCTTACACTGGAGTTTAAAAAAGACAACACTGCTGGGAGAAGTTGATGTCGTTAAACTTTTAAGAATGTAAGAAAACCACAAACTCCTTTTCCCCCTCACTGTGCAGAAGCATCCTCTGCTCCAAAGCTGGATGACACAATGCTTTAACCTCAGCTGCAGCTTCAGTGAGCTGCTGAGAATGAAGGTCGCTTACTTAAAGGGGCTCTCGATGGAGGTGGCTGTAACTTTAAAGTGCTTGTATCTCCGAGCGTTCATCCTCTCGTTGGTGGTGATTCCGAGAGCGGCGATCTACAAGATGTCAGAGCAAAGAGGTGAGCCGCAACGTAGCACGTAACTCGCTACTGAGACTCAAAGCGATTACAGCTGTTCTCACTTATATCACAACACCACCTCTCTGCTTTTCCCGATGTGAACATGACGTAAACTCGTACCTGATAGAGCTGACACATGATGAGCACGGCCACCCACATGAAGTGGAAGACACTGTTGAGGAACATCCAGAACATCCAAGGGGAGCAGGAGGCGATCTGTGTCAGATAGAGCCAGAAACCATCCTTGGCGTAACTGGTGGCGCAGTGGATCCTCCAGTCTGATTGGGGGAGGAGCGAGGGAGAAGCAAAGGCGTTAGCAGAGAAACAGGAGCGGCGTGAGAAATGAGCAACGTTTTTAAAAGTGGTATGTTCTGCTTACAGGAGATACAGCCGTACATCATCCAGCAGATCATGCAGAGCAGGAAGAAGAGGTAACCCATGAAGTAGCGGTGATTCCCACTTCCTGTACACAAGAAACGTCCAGTTCTCAGTTTAATTGTTTGAACAGAACTGAAGGTTAGATAACAGAGAAATGCAGAAGTAATCATTCATTAATGCAGTGCTTCAAGTTAAGAACACGATTACTTGATTTGAGCTTCTCCCTTAAAACTCTGCCCTGTCACTCGAA